TATGATGTTAAGTTTATGCGTGTTGATGTTGATAAATCTCTTTTGAAGGGTAATATTGTAGAAGAATTGAAACCTGGTAAGTATAATGTTAAGCTTGGAAAGAAAGTTCCTGTAGAACCTTATGATTTTACTGATGCTCAATTAACTGCTTTAGTTCAAGAACAGATTGCAAATGAACGTCTTGAAGAAGATCGTCGTAAGCTACTTGAATATACTGATACTCGTTCTGTTAGTCGTAAGACTGTAGATGGTAGTCCTTATGATCCTTCTCAGAGTAGTTCTATTGAAAGTGTAAAAGAAAACAAGAAGAGGAAAAAGAAATTTAATTAATTTGTTAGTCGTATATTATGTCCATATCATCATTTTTCCCTCCAAAAGGTGCGTGTTCTAATGGTCCGTCTGAATAATCATCATCATCGTCATCATCATCATAGTCTTCTTCTTCCATAGTATTGTTGTTAGGAGTGTTGTTAAAATACTTACTTCTTTGCTTTTCATAAGTTGTCATTGTATCTCTTTCAAAGCGATTAAAATCATCTTTTGACATACCTAATGGATTATCTAATTGATATGATTCAAGGTCTTCGTTCCATTCTTCAATCATGCTATCATTATTCTCCTGAGATTCATCTAGTACTCTTTTCATCTTCTTGTCCTTTCTTGATTCTTTAATCTTTTCATTAAATTCTTCTAAGAAAGTATTGTCATAGCCCAACGCTTCTAATAAGTTTGTTACTCTATTGTAGAATGTTTGATGTTCAATAGGATTGGTTTCTTCTGATGTTTGACTTTCTGGCATATCTTTAATTTCATTAAATTTTTCTTCTAAGTCGTTCATTGCGTCGTAGTTTTCTTCTTGTTTTTCCATGTCTTCTGAATCATTTTCAGATTCTTCTGGATCTTTATAAAGTTTTTTATTTATAAATACCGTCAATGAATTTCTCTTCCACCAATTATAACCACCGTTATACTTCATTAAACTTACTACACTTTCATATTCTTTCTGATTTAATAAATGAATACAAGGACGGGCGGTTACAATAGCTTTAGAATATTTGATATTTACCATTGTTTTCTTATTGATAGTGGATGTAATAGCTTTTATTAATCTTATTAAATTCTTATCATAGTTGATATCATCAAATAGTATAAATCTATAATTTTGTTCTTCATCATAAGCGTCGAAGAGAGAATCTCCTCTTAACATAAATGTATTAAATTTTAAGAATATTTCTTGAATGGCAAATTCTGTTTTACCGGTTTTAGTTGGTCCAACAATGAATAAATTTCCCATTCTATAACGATCGCCTTGAGCGCATTTAATCCATTTACGTATTGTTTGAACTTCCTCCATTTCTTCTCTCCAAGGTAATAAATCATTTCTAGTATAATTTTCAATATCAAGTCTTCTCGCATTTTTACGCATCCAACGTGATTTAATTTTACCTTCTTGTTGGATATATTTTTCTGCGTTAATATCCAACAAATTCTTTTCTAATTCTCCGTAATCTTGGTATGAATCTAAATCGGATAAAGCATTTATCCATGTTTGTTTAAGATCTTCTTTAAGCGTTGGGTCTCCTTTGAACATTCCTTTACCCTTCTTTGTAATGTATTCTATAATCTTAGAAATATCGCCCGTCCTTGAGGTGTAAGAATTCACTCTGGAGTACCAGAATGTTTGTTTTGTGCCATCAGAATGGTTAATAATAGGACGAGCTTTAAAGGAGTGAGGTCTTCTGGTTACAATTATAACATGCTGATGAGGATGAGGATTAACCTCGTCTTGTTCTATTGGAGAAATATGAGCGTATTGTAGGTTATTAGTTGGTCCAGCAAATCGGTCTATTAATTCTTTAAATTGTGTTTGGTTTGATATTTCATCTCCCCAAAGAGTTAAATACATGTATCTAGAAGTAAAGTGGATAGCTTTATTATGAGAGAGAGCTTCTTTTAAATGTAATTTATCTGTTTTGGATGGTTCTGAATTAAATGTATTTGTTGACATGTTTGAATTGATGTTATTGTGTGTGTGTATTTATAGTAACTTTTGAGGTTTTTGAATACGTGTCACTGTGTTGTCGCTGATGTCATTGAATGGAGTTGAACTATTTAATCGTCTGAACTTTGAAAGAAATTATTCAATGTCTTCTTTTAATAGAGTACACGATGATATTTATACTGACGTGGCTTCAATGGATTTAGTAGACGTTTATACTGAATCTCAGATTGAGCCAAGTGTTAATGGATTATTAAAGAGATACTTCTATCTTATGAAAGAACCTTCATACATAGATTGGAAATTAAATAATAGCGATAAAGTAAAAACTGACGAGGAACGACAAGATTTGATTAGAAATAAGCTTGAGAGTATAAGACGATGTGAAAGAATTTCACTATTTCTTGATGAAAGTGGTATCGGATTAAATAGCTTTAATGCTTGGAACAGGAAATTTGCTAAGAAGAAAGGACTTAAAAGCGTTGATCAATCTACAATTCCTGATTGGGTGAGAAAATATTCACATAAAAATGAAATGGTTGTTGATGACGATGATGTGGATGTTGATGAAGAAATAAGTGAGCAAAAATCTAAACGTGCTTTACTTAAACCATTAAAGTCTAAAGATGAAGAGAAGAAACCTAAGAAAGCTGAGACTAAAGATAATTAATAACTTTTTATTCTTTTATTTTAATTGTTTAATAATATATAATTGGATAATAATAATAATAGTGTTTGATTAAGTTAAATATACCCGACGAAGGAGGGTTACATAAGTTAATAAAAAAAGATATGAATACTAAATAAATCTTTAATTGATAAATAGTAAATAATATAAGTAATAAAAATTAATCACTTAAAGCGTATAGCATATTCTTTGTTATAAAGGAATCTAAATTGACATAAAATTTCTAATAGTTTTTCATTCTCTAATACTAATACTTGAGCATCTGCTATTAAATAATCCAAATAACTAAACAATGTATCATCATAATTAAATTCTTTAATAAATGAAACTTGTCTTGTCCATGAAGCAATTGCATAAACTAAGCTCTTTCCTTCGGCAGATAAATTGGTAGATAATAAATGATTAATAACAACTGATAATTCTTTTGTTAAATCACCTAAAGCGTTTTTAATGTAAGTAGAGGAGTTCATAATGTTGATAATATTGTTAATTTTCAGTGCTTTAAATACGTTTGAATACGTGTTGATTAGTAATAGTTTTGTCTGTTTGGTGACGTGTATTGTCTGTTCGCGTTGAGTTATGCCTGTTTGTGGTATATTAATTGACGTTTAACTAAAAATTCATTCAATGAGTATCAAATTCGAAGATAAGATTGACTACTATCCATTTAATGATTTAAAGGTTGAATTATTGCGTGATTTTTATAATGATATGAATGATTTGCATGAATTATGTGATGACATGGTTAATTTATATAAAAAAGAAGAATGTTGTACTTTGGGAAGTGAAAGATATTCTACTCTTATTGAGGATGAAGTCTTTTTAATAAAAGATATTGCTTCTGTGGCTTGTAAGATATTACAGCAACATGGTACTGTTATTAAAGCTTTTAGACAGTGCAGGGAAAATAGAGAAAGTAAAAAACGCGAACAAACTAAGCCAAAAAAGAATAATTAAATTTATTTTGACTTATTATTGTTTATTATAAGAATTTTAATATTAGTTCTGCTATTATAATGCAAATAATTAGTATGAATAAAACGATTGAAGCTGCTATTGAGTAACATATTCTTAATAATAGTTTTGGTTTTTTCTTGTCTGGTTTATTAATAAATGAATTTTCTGCTTGTTCCATGATATAAACGTTAAATGTTAATAATTAGTTAATCAATTAGAAGTTGATTTACTTGTTTGTTGTTTAATAAAGAAGTTCATATAAGTATTATTAAGTGGTAATAAATGTTCCTTGTATTTGTATCTACTGGTTTCTGATTGTCTATTTCTATTGAGAAGCCTTTTAAATTGTATATCAATATTACTACAATAAAGAAGGAAATAATAATCTGTATCAATTTCTCCTAATAATAAAGAGCAAATATAATCACTTAATACTAATTGTTCTAATTCAATAATATCTAAATATGATGTATCTAACTTTATCATGTTAACTGTATTTTTTGTAATACTTGGAATCTGATATCTTTTGCATAGATATTCTATTTGTATTTTTAATCTTTCTTTTTGTTCATTTGTTAGCATTTTATCATCATTACAAAATATCTCCAAAGATTCCGTAGGGTGTCTATCCCAAATAACAAAGTCTGCTTCTTCGTAATCGAGTGAATTTAATTGGTCTTCGTAGCATTGTAAAATATACTTCTGGAATTCATAATTTGTAATAGCATTATTGAATAATTTCTTAAGCATTTCTTCACCAAATGGATCATAATCTATGTATTCTCTTATGAATATTACTTCTGTATAATTACTGATGTAGTTATAAATTGCACTTCCTAATGTTGATTTTCCTGTAGCGATACTTCCTCCTAGAAATATATGTTGTTTTCTGAATTGATAAGGATATGGTTGTTTAGCTGGTATTTTGTTAACTGGAGAAGAGTTGTTAGACATGATAGTTATTAAACGATTAAATCTTTTACTAGTTCGTTTTGTTATATTTATTTATCTTGTTACGTTGTTGTACGTATACATTACGTTATTATATCACTTTTTGTTTTTTAATATTTTTATTAGTCTTTATTTTAAATGTCATTCTATTCCTCATTACTCTTGTAATACTTCACTTTCTCTCGTTGTTTATTGGTTATTTTTTATGTTTCTTTGCTTCTTTATGTTTCTATGTTACATATTCTTCTTATTTCTGCACATTTCTTACACCCTAATTCATCACCATTTGAAAATTTTGAACGTTATTTTCAACCCTGCCACATATACATTACTATATAAACTAGGGTCAGCGATCTAATAATTCAGTTGCGCTGACTTTTATGTTATTAACAACTATGTCAATTTTGTTATACGTTGTGTTATTTTATTTGTTATTCTTATTATTATTACATATATTAATTCTGTAGTGTTTCATAATTATTCCATAATATTTATGTTATTTATATCACTTCTCTCAATATCCGTTTCATTATCATTCTTGTTCTATTTATAAATCCAAACATATTTATATATATATTATATATGACTATATATTTTTATTATTCTTTTAATATTTTTTACTATAATTTTACTATAGTTTCGGTCAGTAAGTCATCTGACCTTTTGGTCAGTTCATTTTTAGTTTTTCATTCTGACTTTTAAGATTTTTTTGTTATTCATAACATTATTCTATTTTTATTTGATTACGTGTTGATGAGTCAATTCTATTTCTATAAATACTTTTTGACGTATTGCCACGTCATGTTCTATTTCTATTTTTAGTTGCCACGTCATCACACTCATTTTTGTGATCATTGTCGTGTTCTATTTTTAGAATCACATAGTCATTTCATTGTGAAATGACTATGTGTTATTTAAATATCTTCTTCTTTTATATTATTTTTATATTTTTATTTCATTTCCAATGAAAAATATAAGTATTTTTATGTTTTTATTATTTAAAAATTATTTTCTAATAATTTATTAATATAAATGAAAATATAAATTATTCTTTTGTATTAATTAAATGAATAGGAAATAAAAATAAATATATATTTGATAATATAATAAACTATAATAAATTAGAGTTTATTTTTTAAATTAAAACTATAAAATAATAAAAGAGAAAAGAAAATAATTGTTTTAGATATTAAACAATAAAATAATTAATAAATATTATATAAAATATAAATAATTAAATAATTAATAATATACCATAAATAATTTATCACACTATTATTGAATTGTACCATAAAAAAAATAATTATAAAAAAGAAAAAATAATAAATAAATATTTCTTATTTCAATAAATTTAAATTAAAAAAAGGAAAAAGAATTATGACAAAGTAAATTAAATAAATGAAAAATTATAAATAAATAAAGAAAAATAAATAAATAATAAAATAAAAAATTATAATAAGTTTTATAATAATAAATAAAATAAATAAATAAATTAAATATCTCAAAGAATGAAAATTAAAAATAAATTTATTTATAAATATAAAATTATAATAATAATAAATATAAAATTAATAAATCTTTATAAATTTATAAAACCTTTAATGAAATAATAATATTTACTATTTTAAGTTATTTACATAATATAATATATATTTCCAAATAAAATAAAATTAAAAATAAATATTTTTTTATTCATTATTAAATTTATAATTATAAATAAAAAAAGAATTTAATAAATAATAATAAATAAATATAAAATAAAATATATAAATTGAATTTAAATATATTATTTTATAAATATTTTTATTTCATTTATAATTTTCATATAAATAATATCTAATTAAAATAAATAAATATTAATATTAATAATATTAACATTTAATAAATATAATAAATTATTTAAATGATATAATTATTTTATAATAAACATATTTAAATTATTATTTAACTATCAAAATTAATTAATAATTTAAAAATTATTTTATATATTAAATAAAAAATTAATAAAATAAGTAATAATATATCTTATTTTATATAATTCAAATTATTCAGATGAGATTACATCATT